GCATGCAGCTCAGGATCAACGAGACCGTCTTAGCTGCATCCGGTGAATAGAAGCATTCCAGTAATGCTACGGACAAAAGCCTCACATCGACTGCCCGGACTGGTAACCTAGCTTATATATATATATATATATATATAAGTACATATATACAGACAAAGTGCATTTTAAATATATTTTGGCTGAATTTCAAGGCGCATCGCTTCATTAGCTTTCTCATTTCGTATGAAATTTTGTTGCCATCATTGGACGGAACCCTAACTGAGCGAAATACTTTTCTGAACAAATTATTTTTTTCTTATGAGCACCTCGTATTGAGGAGCTGCGTCTGTTGACAGGTAAATAGTTTGTGTCGTCAAAATAACTTCCTGGTGGTATTAGTTGGTGGATTTTGACAATACGAACAGAATGCAAAATTTTAGACTTGCGCTTTTGAATGAATCAAGGCTTTGCAGGTTGTATTTGGGTGTACGGTCCAAAACAGTACATACACTTCGAGCGCAATTACTTCGAACGTCATTACTGCAACGGCGGCATCTATTGGCTTGCGTTTATCAACGTTACAGTGCACTTGGCTCTTATTGCACTTGGATTACTTCTGCTCTCATGTTTACTCTGTAGTGGATTAGTGAAGGAAAATCGACCGCGGCAACAGGAACAATGATGTTGCCGATAACGCTTGCGAAGAGAAAGACACTGCTACTGCTATGATGGCGATATGATCATGATAAGGAAATAATAAAGATCCGTGAAATTGTAAATTTATCTCAGGAATTATTATGTCCTATTAAAGTGTTAGCGCGCTTTTCGACCAGAAATTTAGGACAGTGCGGAATTCCTTATTGGATCTTCGTCTGACGTCATAAAAGTTAAATCCCCTAAGTCAAAAGTTTGTCAAATTCTGATACGATGTAGTTAATGATATGCGATGGCATAACAATTTTTGAATAATTTGGATGCATTTTACAACAGGAATTTGTTAATCGAAAGTACTGCTAACTTGATCTAATCTTTAGCAATGTCAAAATCTGACAGTTTACTTCAGACACCCTCGAAATTTTTAATCACGTTACCTGGCAGGAGGAAGAAGGGAAAAAAGAAGGGAACATGTACTCCACTCTGAATATTTTAGAAATAAATACTTCGCAAATTAACAAATCCTTTGCAAGAAGTGAATTTTTTAGCACCATGCAACTACAAGAAATTTAGAAGCCTGAATACGAGAAAAACGAAGTAACTGAAAGTACATTATGCTGATAATATTCAAAGAATTACCGGTCAAGGGTTTGGACATATCGAAATCTCTACGCTTTGTTCCCACTGAAACTATTATGACTGCTCGGAAACTGACATTTGTGGTCTTTTGGATTGTTCCACACAATGAGTAGAGTGCTCGGCTTTTAATCACATCCAACTCCTTTCTCTTTCTTCAGCTTCGAGAGGTAAAATAAAAAGGTTTTCTTCCACTGCTGCAGTTCTTTGGAAAAGCTGTGCATATGAGTCATTTTTTCCTCTTTTTCTTCCTTCTCCTTCAAACAAGTTCAAAAAAAAATTTAGAGGAAGTGAAGAGAGAAGAAAAAATTATTCTTTCCAACAACTCAAGGAAAATTCCGGATTTTCCGAAGCTTCGTTTAAAAAGTGTTCTTTATAGGCTGCTGCTG